GCACTGAGTGGCCAAATGCCCTTTCAAACAAACTTCCTACTTTACACCTCCACCAACAGCACCAGACTTCATGTACCCCCTCCTCCGTACCAGCCATCGATTTTCTCTGATTTCCTCTTCTTGCCAATTTAATGGGTGTCATCTGGGATCTTAGGCTTTCCCTGGCAGCTCTCTGAATACTGGAGTGGCTGCAGAAACCCCAGCCCTTAGAACATTTTAAAAAAAGACATTTGAATACATATACACACACACGCACACACTCACAAAATAAGGACATGATTTCAGAAAAGATAGCTCAGCCTGTCGACAGGAGGTGAGGCCGCATGGCCCCTGCCCCACTGCCCAGCTACAAGGAAGCTCCTGAGGGAGTCTAGAGCCACTGGCCACTCTCACCAAAGCCTCTGCCCAAGGAGAAGAGGGAAAGGCCCCTGGTGAGCTCCTGTTCCTGGTCCCTATCAGCCAGAGCATCTTCAGCTACAGGTGACAGAAATCCAACTGGCTTTGAGGGGGAACATGTTTACCGGCTCACATGGCTAAGTCCAAAGTATACAGACTTCTGGCAAGACTGGGTCCAGGTGTCATCAGAAATCTGTACCCCTGAGCCTCCTGGCTCTGCTGTGCTGGCCTCATTCTCAGGTAGGATTGCCCACTCAGATGGGATGTGGCTGCTGGCAGCACCCGGCTACACTCTGCCAGGTCTGCTACTCCAGTGTGGCTACCGTCATCCTCACCTGGACTCGTGACAGGGGTCCTGGCTGCCACTAGCGCCATGGGGAAGCCAGTGATCTTGTCAAAACCCTTTCCCAGTGGTCCCCCTGAAAGTCCCAGGGCTCAAATGTGCTAGCTGATTGGTCTGCCTGAGTCACGACCCCACCTACACCACTCAATACTGCTAGAGCAGGTGTGGTGGCTCGACTGACCAGGCTGGTGCGAAGTCTCGGCCCCGCAGCCCCAGGGAGTGGGGTCAGTGGCACCCAACACAGATTAGGGAGAGGAGAGATGGTTCCCCAAAAGAAAGCAAGACACTATAACCAGAGGGGGAGTGCATGAGAGGCAGACAGGACCCCTGTGCCCCAGGCTCCAGGTGCCAGGGTCCACGACAGCCACCTCACCTCCACTTTCAGAGAAGGCAGACACTGCCAGATGAAACCCGAATACCTCCACCCCTCCACCAAAGCCCACTCACCCCGCGTCTCATCAGGTCGGGGAGCCCACATGACACTACCCCTTCCCCTCCCGTCCCTTCAGCCCCCTCCCTACCAGCTTGTGTTTCTGTCACCTGAAAAAAAAAAGCAACGCTCCTGGGAGGCCTTGCAGCTGGGCAGTGGGGCAGGGGCCATGTGACCTCACCTCCTGTCGGCAGGCTACCCTTTTTCTGAAATCACGTCCCTTTGTCCTCTAAGCCACTGCTCCCTCCCATCTCCACTTCACACTTCACAGCCCCGAGCGTTGCTCCAGCTCTCTGGCCTCCTCAGCAACCACCAAGCCCTCCCGAGAACCTGCAAGGGGTCACAGCATACAACAGCTGACCTCTCCCTCCTCCTGGTCATACCGAAGCAGCAACGACAGTGGTTCCTGGGAGGCCCTGGATCTGGCTGCTCCTCAGGCCACTTTGGTGGCCCTAGGTGTCCCCCTTTCCCCTGGCTGAGGTCACCTGCTCCCAACATTCACACACCTGTCTCTAGGCCCTTACATCCCAGTGCCCACCCTATACCTCTCAGTGGCTTCACAAGAACCCCAAGCTCATCGCAGCCAAACTTATGAGAGCTTAAGACCTAGCCCTGCTCCTCCTCCGGTGTCCTCCGGCCAGAAACCGGCCCCAGCCTCCACCCAAGTGGCTGCAGAAAGAAATCTGAGTCTTTGAGGATTCGCTTGTTAGCCCTTCACCCAGGCCTACTGCCACCACAGGACTCAACCTGCCCACCCCTCTCCACCGCTGACTCCTCTCCACACCTCCTACCCAGCCTAGCCAAGCCACTGCTCTCTGAAAGCACATGTCCACCTCATGGGCACTACAGCTCAGGGTCTGCTAAGAAACAGGTGTGGACCTACAGTGTCACTGTCCTGCTCACAAGCCAGCCTTTATGCCCCTCTACAATCTTGCCTACCTCTGCCTCTACCACCCCTTCTCCAGTGCCCTTCATGGCACCAGGCACAGAACTCGACAGTCTTCAAGACATGTTCCTTTACTCGTCCTGTCCATCCCTTTGCAGAAGCCCAGAGCAAGCAGAATAATCTCTCCACCAGAGAGAGCAGGACAGGCTGCTCAGAGGAGGGCGGGAAGCTCTCCATGGTCCCCCAGCACCTGCTGGCTCTGGCCCTATACCACGCTGCCCACCTTCCTTCTGTCGTCAGCACCCCTGGTCCTGCCCTGGCGGAACTGTGGGCTCCAGCCCCTCCCTTCGTTCAGTCACCACCACCACCTGGCCCACCACAGCTACCAGCCCCAGCTCAGCGTGGGGAAGCCAGGTGGATGGATGGGGAGGTGGCTGTGAAGCCCGGAACAAAGGCTGGGACAGACACTGGTGTTCCCTTTTATTATTTTTTTTTAATAAATTTAAGAACAGCTCTATCTTCTCTCCTCCCCCCAGAACAACTAAAACCAACTAAAAGGGGGTGTGGCCTGGGGGGCCAAGGGTGCTAGGAGTCATAATCCTCCTCATCCTCTGCGTCAGGTGCTGAGGGGCCTGGGGGCGCCGGGGGCAGAGGCAGAGTTGAGGTGAAGGCAACGAAGGGTGTCGGGGGGCTGCAGGGAAGAAAGCAGCAGCAGATCAGGCCACTCTCTGGTGCCCATTCCTGCCCACTGTCCCCACTCCACTCCCCACAGAGGCAGCAGGAGCTCATGGCCTCTGGACCAATGGGCCAAGGCCAGGGCAGGTCACACAGCTCCTGCCTAGGCCCTATTCACGCCCCACCCGGTGAGGGGGGAGTCCTTCTGAGTGCACAGACCCCTGCCTTTAAACCTCCGTTCCTCCCCTCCCATCTCCCAAATCTGCCACAATCAACCGAGTGGCCATGGAGGACAAAAAGGGCAAGTCAGCCTTGAGGCGTCTGCTGACCTCCTCCTGGAACCACTGAGCTGCTTACCTGTGAAAGTGGGCAGGGGGGTGGCTGGCCTGTGGTGGGGCCTGCGGTGTCTCCTCTTCCCCTTCAGTGTCTGTGTCCTCAGACTCATCCTAGGAGCAAGGCAGGGGTCAGATGACGAGAAAGGCATGGGCCACCACCAGGGAGCCTGGCCTCCTGACTTCCATAGCCCCACTTACAGAGAAACCGAGAAAGAGGGCCCAGTGAGGATGGGGGCAGGCCTCTGGCCAGCTCCGCCTGCTGCAAGGCGGCCCTCCCACACCACAGGGCTGCGGGTGAGGGGCTTCACTCACCTCCTGCTCGGAGTCGCTCCCTGACAGCTTCTTGTCCTTGCTTTTGCTTCCCATCCCACCATTCTTCCGGTTGCTGCTGCCTGGCTTCCGACCCCTTCAGGAAGATACAGTCCATCTGCCCAGAGGTCTCCCCCATCCTCAGCCACCCCCCAACCACCCCCGACCCCAGTGGCCTTGGCCTTCCCTGCCTGGACACTTGGAACTGGTTCCCCACCTGCGGGAACCCTTGTCCCCATCCAGGTGGTTGTCTTCCCCGTCTCCCTGCATGTCAGGCACAGAGGCCACCAGGTCTTTCAAGAAATCAAACTGCTGCTCCAGCTCGATGCACTGCTTCCTGGAAGAGGGGGGTGGGGGGATGGCACTCAGGCAGGTCCCAGATGTCTGAGCTCTCAGTAAAGACAGCAAAGAACTCTGACAATCAGGAGTGCCGAGCCTGGAAAGCCTCCAGCCCATATCCACAACCAGATGACCCAACCCCTCCTCTCCCAGTTCAAACCCACCAGTGTCTGAGGCCTTGCCGCTCCCCAGGCAGCCTCCCACCTCCCTCACTATCAGGACTCAGCTTCCCTGGAGTGTATGAACTCCTGGGGTGGGGCCCCACCGGGCCCTCCCAGTTCCGCCGCCACTCACAGGTGGGAAGTGGTCATGGTCTTGGCGTTTCGGGACTGGGTCACCTGGCAGGCCTTCTTCAACAGCGACTCCAGGAAGAGCTCGAGGGCCCGGGCTGACAGGTGTCAAGGAGAACGCGGGTGGAGGGTCCCCAGGGTCCCCAGCCCACCCAGGGCAACCCCGGTCTCCCTCCTTCCCCACGTCCCTCAACCCGGCCAGCCCCCGACAGGATACAGATGATGACAGGCACAGCCGCCGCCACCTTCCCAATCTCCTCGTCAGTCTGCATGATCTTCTTGATCCGCGCCTGGGGAGGGAACATAGAGTTCGGACCCCGTCGCCTTCACCCCTGAACTCGGTGCTGGGGGCAGAGAGAAGGGGTATCCCGGAGAAAGGGGGCGGGGGCGTGGCGTCCGGGCCCCCGAACCCGACGATGCGCCCTCCCCCCCAGCCCGGCCCGGGCCTCTCGAGAGTTGGGCCCGCTCCTCCCGGGGCCGGCCACGTGCTCACCGGAGGGAACCGCGCGTTGTACTTCTTCTTCTTGCTCGGCATCTCGGGGCCTCCCTAGGCCGCGCCGGGCCCAGCGCCGCCGCCCGCAGCTCTCCGGCCCCGGGGCCTGCTTGCCGCCCGCCCGCCGCGGTTCCCCCGGGTCCTGGTGCCGCCCGCTCTGCCGCTGCCGCTCCGCCACGGGGTCCTAGCGCCGCCAGTCAGGACGCCGCTCGGCAGGGCCCGAGTGCCCACCCCTCGGAGCCTCCACGGCGGTGAGAGTCGCTCGCCGACCCAAAAGCCGCTCCCGCCCGCCCACAAGACCTGGAGAGCGAACGTTAGCCCCGCCCCCCTCAGGTCCGCCCCTCCCCAGGTTCCCCGACGGCCCCGCCCCCGGGGTCAGCCTCTCCCCGGCCCCGCCCCGCAGCGCGGCGGACCCGGCCCGGGGGCCCCGCCCTGTGCTGCGCTTGTCTATAAAGTTGTTGTTGAGGCGACGGGGTGCTAAGATGGCGGCGGCGGCGGCAGCCGTGGCGGGGGCGGGGCGCGGCGGCGAAGGCGGCACTGAGCCCCGGCAGGAGCGGAGCCGGGCCCGGGGCTGGACCAGCGCCGAGCGCAGTGAAGGCCGGAGGTGACAGCAGGGCGACAGGAGGGGCAGGGCCGGGCTGGGGCACAGCTCGTGCCGTGGGCGCTAATGGCGGCGGGCGCGGCGGCCCGGAGACCGGCCTTCCCTCGGGTTCTAACAAGCCTGGGTTCGAGTTCGGGCACCGCCCAGTTGGCTTCGGACCCGACACATCCCTCTCGGGCCTCAATGCCCTCGTTCTTAAGTGGGCCCTACAACGCTCGCCCAGGCGGCCTGGCTCTCCAGGGCCAGGCCTCCGGGCTGCAAGAACGTGCGCTTCTTTGCCTCCATGCATTAAATACCTGCTCTCGGGATACCTCCCAGGCACTGGCAGGGCCAGGAGGTGTACCTGGGCCGGTTGAGTCCACGTTTCGTCTGTCAGGCACTACAGGTGTGACCTTGGGTAAGTCTCTTCTCGCTGAGCTTCAGTTTTCTCTCTGTAAATTAGGGACAGTAGTAATGACATTCGCAGCAATACTTACGTAGGGCTTATACCACCTCAGGCATTTAATTCTCAGTAGCTCTATGAGACAGAAACACTTGTTTCCCACTGAAAAGGTGAGGCAGCTGAGGCATGGAGACATTGAGTCTTGCCCAAGGCTACACAGTTTAGTTCAGTGCCTGGCACCTGCTAGAGCCCTGCAAGCTGTAGCTGTGTCCTGGACCTGCCCTAACTCTACTCCCTCACAGCAGGATGGAGCCAGGTGAGGAGCTGGAGGAGGAGGACTCTCCAGGGGGTCGTGAGGATGGCTACACTGCTGAGCATCTGGCTGCAGAGGCCATGGCAGCTGACATGGACCCCTGGCTAGTGTTTGACGCCCGCACTACACCTGCTGCTGAGTTGGATGCCTGGTTGGCCACGTACCCACCATCCCAAGTTACCCGCTACGGGGACCCTGGCTCTCCCAACTCTGAGCCTGTGGGCTGGATTGCAGCATATGGGCAGAGCTACAGCCCCAACTCGGGTGACGTGCAGGGCCTGCAGGCAGCCTGGGAGGCACTGCAGACCAGTGGGCGGCCCATCACGCCAGGTACCCTGCGCCAGCTGGCCATCACCCACCATGTGCTCTCAGGCAAGTGGCTGATGCACCTGGCACCTGGCTTCAAGCTGGACCATGCCTGGGCTGGCATTGCTCGGGCTGTGGTGGAGGGCCGGCTTCAGGTGGCCAAGGTGAGCCCACGGGCCAAGGAGGGTGGGCGCCAGGTCATCTGTGTTTACACAGATGACTTCACGGACCGCTTGGGTGTATTAGAGGCAGATTTGGCCATCCGTGCAGCAGGCATTAAGTGCTTGCTCACCTACAAGCCTGATGTCTACACCTACCTGGGCATCTACCGGGCCAACCGCTGGCACCTCTGCCCCACTCTCTATGAGAGCCGTTTCCAGTTGGGAGGCAGTGCCCGTGGCTCCCGTGTGCTGGACCGCGCCAACAACGTGGAACTGACCTAGTGGGGCCAAGTTGGGGGAGACCACCCTCTTCACCCCTTGCTAGGAATGCATCTTCCTGTCTTCCTCCTCCTTGTCCCAAGGAGGACAAGCCCCTCAGCTCCGAGGACTAGGTCAGTCGGGAACGGCCTGCATCTTTGATCCCTTGAACTCCTGCCCTCTGTTCAGAGCTGACTCAAGTCCCAACTGGCTAGAGGCTCTGGCTCCTGAGGGCCAGCCCCTCAGCATCTCTCTTTGCTGCTGCTTCCTTCTGCCCTCCAGGACTGAAGGCTGGGTGCAGATACCCAGGAGGAGAGCCTTTCTTGGCCTCCTCATCCTCAGCCAATCCTCCCCTTCTCTTCCTCCCTCACAAGTGAGAAAGCTTAGTGCTTCCAGTCCCTCTCCCTGGGGCCTTCACAGTCCAGGGGGCAGAGGCCCTGCAGGCATGAGCATACCAATTTGTTGGGGGCAGGTGAATGTACCCACTCATCCCCTGGCAGAGAGCAGGGATGTCAGGGCCATGGACAAGGGGCCCGCCCTTCCCTGCCACCTCACAGCCTGCACCACCTACCTTCCTCCCTTTGTTACCTTGTCACATGCCTGCTCCTGACATTTGAATAAAACCCAGCTTGGGTCTTTGTCTTGAGTGTTTTTTAAAATACTGTGTTGGTGGTTACCTGCTCTGGTTGCTGGAGAGAGGTCGGGCCAGGAGAGACTGCCTCTCTGCCTTAACTGGGCCCCCACTAACTGCCCCCAGTAATAAGATAAGCTTCACTGCCAAGGCTGGGAACCTGTCTGAGAGCTTCTGCAAATCCAGCCCTGCTTCTCCATCCCAAGAAGCAGACCCAGTTTCTCAGTGATTACCCATAAGTCTGAGAGCTTGGCCCAGCAAAGTCTGAGGGGCCACTACTAGCCCACAGGGTGTATTTTTGCCTGCTAGGGAAAGGTACCCTCCTGGGCCTTGAAGTTCTAGGTCAGAGCAGAGTCTGATGAGCAAAGAATGGTCTGAATTTCAATACCCTAGGCTGGACATCCTTGTGCAGTGAGCACCCTGCACAACCATAAAGCCAACCTGAAAGACCTCATGTTTATACTCATCTTCCCTCCCACCCCCGACAGGCACGGGGGCCAGTGGGCAGTATGCAGAGCGCCTCCGTATGCATTATTTAATTTTCACAACTTGTTTAGAAGATAATGGCCCTGTTAGGTGGTCCTGGAAATTGAGGCCAAGAGGGGAACAGAGTTCTCTCAGGAGCTGGGGTCAGTAGGCCCCAGCTGGGTCTTTGCACCCTAAACCCTGCCTCCTCAGGCAGAGCGTGTCCCTGGCCTCACCCCACAGTGAGTTCTTCCAGTCCGTAAGGCACAGTCACTCACGTGGTCTTGTTGGGCTGCGGCTGCTGTAGCCTGGGAGCCTGGCTGCACATGCCCCGGGCCCTGTGCCTGGCCCTGGCCTTGGTTGGTGGCCAAGCTGTCTGGCAGGGAGCCCCCTGGGCCGCTGCTCTCGTGCCGTGCCGGAGCTGACTCAGCCTCCAGCAGCCTCACCAAATTGGAATTTGGAGCAGGGAGCGGAGATGCCACTGGGCTGACTGGGTGGAAGTGGGTGAGTCATGAGATGCTGGCTCAGCCCCCTCCCCAGCTTCCTCCCCACCCTGAGCTTCCCCAGGACTGAGTCCCCCTCACCGCAGGACAGCTGTGGGAAGTCCCAGCGCTGGGTGGTCTCTTGAGTTGGAGCCTGGTGTCCTGCCTGCCTCACACAGTCAGGGCTTTGTACATGACCAAAGTGGGCCAAGGCTTGAGGGGATCTTGGCCAGGCCCTCGTGGGTCTCAGAAAGATGCCCAAATGGTATTAACAACACCTGGTTCTCCTATAACTGGGCATTTCATATACTCATCCCCCTTCTCCAGCCACTGCCTCGGTACCATTCGCTCCACAACCCCCATTTCCCCGCGCCGCCAGCTCCCCTGCACAGCTGCCCACGCTGCCCACGTCCCTCTCCTCAGAGCCTTTGTGTGGCTCTCCACAGCCTGCAGCATAGAGTCCACTCTCCCAAGCCAGCTCTGGCCTTGCCGCCCCTACACTGACAAGCCCTGGCCTCCTTCAGGCTCCCCTCTCTTTCCCCATGCTCACCCCACTGGAGACGACTGGCACTTCTGTCCCCTGCTGGCATGCAGTCATGGGCATCAGGCTGTTCCTTCTGCTTGAACACCTGCTGCTCAGCAAGGATCAGGAGGTCACTTACGTTATCACTTGATTGATGTCTGTCTCTTCCTGGTCCTTAAGCCACATGCCCAGACTGTGGGCTCAGTGAAGGCAGGAACAATGTCTAAATCTCAGCCCTGTCCTCAGAGCCTAGCAGAGTGCGTGGCCAAGCAACCTCTCCACAAAGTTTTAGTTACTTGGTTGAATACATAGTGACGCAGATCTAGCCCCTGCCAATCCCTCCAGCCTCATCTCTCCTCCACTTCCTGCCTTACCCTTCCTATTCCAGACCCCTGAGCTGCCTATGGGCTTCTTGCACACGTTGGCCCGTCTCACTCCGGTGGCTTTGCTCACACTGTTGCCTCCGCTTGGCATGCCTGATCCTTGCCTGCTTCCCTGGCCGACTCCGCATCTCAGACCAACAGTGTGTCCTCTCGGGTTTCTCCTCCTCCATCTACACCCGAGACCTCCACAACACCTAACCACCTGTGGCTCTCCTCTGTGTCTGGGGTCTCGCTAGGACAACGGCTATGCCCTCAGCACCAGTGTAGGACCTGGCCCAGAGCAAGTGTCAAATAAACGTTATTGAACAAGTAAGTGATACAGTGAAAGACACTCCCTGTCTCTGGCCCTGTTCCCTCATTCTGCTCACAGAAAGAGCCAGGCACCGTGCTGTTTACCTACAGCATCTTATCTAAACATCACCTGGCTCTATTATTATTGCCACTTTGCAGAAGAAGAAACTTAGGGCCACAGAGATTCAGTAATTGGTTCAAGGTTACAAAGCTGTAAGTGGCAAAGCTGAGATTTGAATCTGGGTCATCCAACAACAGGGCACCTGATGCGTGTGTGCTCCCACTGTAAGAAAGTACTGTTGGGGTTGGGGGCCATAAAGGTAAGTAAGACCCAGCAAGGGCTTAGTCTGATTTGTAAAGCACACAAGTTGGGTCCTCAGAACTGCCTGGGAGAGAGGCTAGACCAAACTGAGATACCCATTTTACCGCTAGAAACGAGCCCAGAGGGTAGAGTGACTAAGCCTACCTGGCCAGGAGGGGTGTCCAGGGGCTAGGGCAGAAGCTGCTCCCCTGTTGGTCCCAGGGCTCCCCGAGAGCCACCCCTCAGGCTGCAGGAATTCTGCCCTGTTTGAAATAGAGAAGTGGCCCAGGTCTAGGGTGGGCTAGGCTAGGTAAATCTGGACAAGCCCGTGCTCTGCTCTCTTATATAAAACCACGGGAGGGATGACTGGGCCCAGGGAGAGTGGACCTTCCCATCTCCTCCCACCCAGGCGCGCTGCAAACCCCCAAGCCCCAGCAGGGATGCTCGAGAGGAGCTGGCCAGAGATGGGGAGAATGCGCCTGACCCTCCATTCCAGCTGGGGCTGGGGGCTGAATCTGGGAGCTCAGCAAACAGCTGAGTCAGGAGAAAGCTTGAGCCAGGCTTTGGCAAGGTTTGGGGGATTTTCCCAGCAGGGCAACTGCGCCCCACTCCCGCCCTCTGGGAGAGGCCCTGGCAGGGATGAGGCTTGGGTCACACAGCTGATTCATCCAGGAGGGAAACTCCCCGCTTCTCTGACGCGCATCCCCCAGACACTGAGGGGTAACCTGAGGGCATCCAGCCCAGAAACCCACTGAACCCATCTTGCCCTGATTACTGGCCTCCCAGCAGGGCATGAAAAACCCCCAGGCTGGACAGAAGGACAGGCCGGGAAGGGTGGCAGAGCACTGGGAGCAGCGTCCCACGGAATAACACCAGAGACTGGACCCCGAGCGGCTGCTGGACAAGTAGCGCTTCTAGCATCCTCCCCACACCCATTTTTTAGATGAGAACATTGAGGCTCAGACAGGAAGAGCAATGGGCAAACAGACTACCCTGCACTAGGCGCTACTCTCTAGGCAGTTTGCATGAACTCATTTTTTTTCTTACAGCCCTCATTTTCCTGAGGAGAAAACTGCAGCAGAAAGCGGTTAAGTAACTTGGTCACGGTCAAGGCTAGAAAATGCTCTGTCGGCCTCCACAACCCCCAAGAGCGCTGTGTGCACCCCTGAGCAGCTCAGTCCCCTGGAAACCCTAGGCAACAGACCTGTCAGCACCGCTCCCTGGCTCCTCCCAGGCTAAAGGAGAAAGCTGGCTTCTGCAGACAAAAAAGATCGGTCAAACCCACAGAGGCCAGGAGAGGGCAGCGAAGCACTCCCGCCAAAATCCTCCCCTCTGAAGCTTTGACTCCTTTCCAAACCCCAGTCCTTTCCTCCCGAGTCACAGCCTCCTTTCCTGTCTGCCGGCCCCCCTCTGCGACACCACACGTTCATGTGTGCACACAGCGCGGACGTGCACACCTCAGGGAGGGAACTGCCGGGTGTTGAAGAGCTGAGCTGTGGCTCTAAGAGGCGTGACCAAGGTCCCCGCGCAGGCAAGCTCTACCCCATGTGGTTCTCATTCACAGACTGCATGACTCACCCCCTCGCCCCCCATGACTCAATTTACATGGGTGCCCAGAGGTCCTCCCAGCGAGGGTGGGGCAGGTTACTGGCCCAGCCCAAGCCCGCCAGCCTTTCATCCCAGGATGAGCATTTCATCCCACTCCTGGCCCAGAGCAGGAGCTGGCACCCAGGAGCCCAGGGCTGGGGGAAAGCCTCAGGTCTGGGAGGGTAGGGAGAGCCAGAGAACTGATTGACGGGCCCCAGCTGCCCTAGGCCTGGGTCTGCGGGAAGCAGAGGCGGCTCCAAGAAACCCAAGAGGCCAGGCAGAGAGGCAGAGCCGACCTGGGTACCAACAGCACAGCCCTTGCGTCCCTCCATTCAAAGGAAATGGCCCAGACGGCACAAAGCTAACATTGACAAAATCATCACTCACATGTATTGATTTCCTGTGCCTGTCAAACGCTAGGTGCCATCCATGCCTTATCTCATTTACTCCCCCAATAGTCCTGAAAAGCAGGTACAACCATTGTCATCTTCTTTGTACAAAGGAGGAAACTGAGGCATAGAGAAGTTAAGAGAATGGCCCAGGTCAGGCCCGCAGGAAGTGACTGAGCTGACAGGCCATCTGGCTTCAGAACTCATGTTGTTGTCCCCTACCGCCTCCCTGAACTGTGCAGGCTGGAGCAGGGACGAGGGGCCCAATGCATGCCTGCCCCACCCCCAGCGGATCTCCACTGAAACCTCCGGTTTTAGGGATTGCAGTATGTAACCACTAATACCAGAGGGGGAAACTGGGGCTTCCAGAGGGAAAGGGACTGGCCTGAGGTCGCATAACCAATCAGAGATGTGGCCAGGCCTGGGATCATGCCTTTGATGCTGTCCTGGATGCTGGAGAGGTGACCGTGGGGGTGAGGGAACCTCACAGAAGCTGTGGGGAGGTGGGCGTCCTGCTCTCTTGGCCTGCTACTGACTCCCTAGGGGTAGCGCTTCAGCCCAGCTCTTTTCCCTGGAGCCTCATGGTCCTCATCTGCCTCACAGGGAC